GAGATCGGAGCTCAAGATATTGAACTGATATTTTTCTGAGCAGTTCCATGATCTACTTTTAGCGCCGCAGGCGAAAATTTTGAGAATTTTGGAAAGTCATAAGCCTGATTTCCTCAAGATTTTGCCCTCAGATTGGGTATATTTCTTGCGGTTTTTTGCGTTAATTTTGGCCAAATTTACGCAAAACGCAACGCAAGGCCAAAAATCAACGCAAAACGCAATGCGCCCACCCATGATTGTAATACGTATAGACACTCCTTTTTGTCAAGTTTGAAAGTCGGGCTTTAACGCACGATTAATTAGTTATTTTAATGTAGTTGAATTTCGATGTATAATTAAAAGGATGGGAGTTTAGTCTATAATATTAATTAATTTACTTAATTTTAAATAAAAGTAGATTTAAAAAAACAAAAATCTCGTAATAAAATTGCCCAGAATAGTGTTATTTTTGAAAGTCAAGTTTTATTCTTGACTAATTGTGATTTTAACATGTTATTTTAAGTTTGCCTGGTATATTCTATAAAATTAAAAGTTTGGGGTCGGTTTCTTGTTTAATCCATTTATATGAATTTGTTAAGTGTCGTGAACATAATATTAATTAATTCTTCTTTTTTGGTTAATTTTTGGTTAATCCAAATTTTAAAAACTAGGATTTCTATCTTGAGTTTTAGCTTTTTAATTCTTGTTGTTAAATTTGCATAATATTATTTAATACAATTAATTTTGTGTAGAAGTTAAGTGACAAATATCGATATCAGTCCAATCCATCGATCTGATTATATTTTTGCAAGTCAAGTTTCAACTTGGCTAAGTTATCTTTTATTATGACATTTAAGTTTGTTTTTTGTATACCATAGATAGCTTAGTGTTTAAAGGTTTGTACATTTGACCTTAAAAGTCAGTGTTCCATTTGACTTTAAGCGTGTGTACCATTAACCTTCCAAAATTTACAAAATTTTTGTCTGCCACGTTGAAAAAGGCCATAAGTTTATACCTTGATATATCGTTCCCTTAATATCCTATCACTCACCTTCATTCAAGTTCACCAACTGCCAAAAACTTTTAGAGGATCATGAATAATAATATAAATAATTTCTCACAATTTTTCCGTTTGTTTTTGTCTATCACTTGTGAAAAACAAAAAGTGCAAACGTCTGAACATTAAAAAGTATTTAAATATGCAGGTTTAAACTTTTTTAAATAAATAGGAAAGGTAATTAAAATTGTACTTATTGTTTACTCGAGAAAAAAAAACAAAAAAGTATATAGAAATTTACTATAGTATAATTAGTCTTTAATCCCTAAAAATAGTTATAGTAGAGAAGTTAGACGTTTATATAACTTTTTTGCTATTGTCAAGTCAAATTTGCATAATATTAATTAATTCAATTAATTGTTGTAAAATTGAATCCAAAAGCCTATGCATTCTTTGTATGAGCTATTCCAATAATATTTATATTTTTGTAAGTCGGGCATTTATTCTCGACTAATTAATGTTTGCTTTGCTTAAGTTTACATCCATTATAATTTGATTAATGATCACGGTTGGGAGTTGATTTTTTTAATTTTTTAGGCAATTGCTATTTGCATAATATCAATTAATTCAATTAGTTTTAGGTAAAAGAAGGATTAAATACTCGGAATTCATGAATCGCTTTGAGTACAATATTCTTTTTTTTTATTTTTGTGAGTCGATTATTATTTCGACTAAATAAGGTTTAATATTTCGGTTTATTTTGTAAGGCCCCTTTGCTTATAATTCGATTTTTAAATAACCATAACATTTTCCAAAGTTTGAATCATGTAAAAAATTCAGCACACCCCTTATTTTTATTATTGTCTTCTTTTTCTATTTAAATAAATTTTTTGGCTCTATTACACAATATACGTCCAATCAACTATTATGCGTCCAATCAACTTTTATACGTCCAATCAAAGTTTATACGTCCAATATTTTTTGCACATTTTTTACAATATTTTCAATTTATTATTTTTGTCCTTTTAGTACTTTTAGTTTTTTTCTATTTTTACTAAAAAGTATTTGTACTATATAAAAATGCCCTTTTTGCCCCTTTTACTTGTTCCCTTTTAGTTTCCGCCCTTTCTCCTTTTTTAATTCCAGCCAGCCGTCGACCCGGTCGTCCCGCCAACACAGACGCGACACACACACTTCCCTCTCTCAAGAGTAGAAAAAACGAGCAAAACAACAAAAAAATTTTGCTTGAAAGACCACAGAAGAAGGCCAAAATTCTTCTCCCGACTCTTCTTTTATTTTTTTATTTTTTCTATTTTTTTAATGCTGACAGCCTTCATTAAGCTCTGCACTCTATATTTTAATATATTTTCCTTCCTCTATAGGTATATTTATGTCTGGGCCAAAATAGAAAAAAAAGAAAAAATAAGTGTGCGCAAATAATTTTGGCGTTTTTGGAATTATTTTTTATTTTGTTGGCGTTTTGTATTTTTCACCTAGCCTACCTAGAAAATTTCTCATTTTATTAACAGAATGCCAAAAATCTACCAAAAAGAGATTTTTTCTTATTTTCCGCAAAACGCAAAATTTTGGCGCACACCCATCTTTTTAGATGTTGTTTTCTTCTTCGTTTGTCATTTTTGTCTCGAGAATGAGACCAACCACCACAGCCAACCACATACAGACAGACTTTTTTACTTCCTTCTTTTTCATTCTTTTTTCTATTTTTTAACATTCTCGGTAAAAAAAAAGAAAAATACAAAAAAAAACTAAAAATGCAAAATTGGCCGGCTAAAAAGATAAGACTCAAGTGTACCGTGTCTCTGAATATTTTTCGAATTTTTTTATTAACTTGGAGCATTAACAAGCATTTTACCCTATTTCCATTCCATTCACTTTTACATTTCGTCCCATTTAGTGTTTCAACAGAACCGAAATTTTGACCGGAGCCGGATCCAAGTTGAGTTCCGGGTCCCGGAACCGGAACCAAAAAAGCACCGGAACTTCCCGGAACCGGAACCTGAACTTCCGTTAAAACTCTATTCTCATTACATTTTATCGCATGCTTGTTTCACATATATTCATTGTCACATTCAGTTTGTTAGTTTCTTATCTTTAACGGGAATATAAGATATCATTCGTCATATTCCCCATTTTGTCATGTCTCATTTCATCACATTTTGGAAAATCTAAGAGTAAGTCTTTGATTATTCCTCTCGAATAGCCTCATCCTCTAAAATTACCCCCCTCTAGAGGTCGATCGAAAAAAATAACCCCATGAGTTTATTTTAGAGGCCGTACTTAATATAACCATTTTTACTTCCCCCACGTCTTCCTGGATTTGTTTTTCAAGTATTACTTATTAAAAAACAAAAAAATCTGTCTGATCTCTCTTATTGTTTTCTAAATTTGTTCTCTATTTTTGTTATTTTTGCAACCCACCCACGTATTATTAGTGCTCTGTTTGCTTTTGTTCCTTTCATACTACCACGTTCCTCATCCTCTCGTGTTCCCTTCACCCTACTTTTTACTTTTTCCTTCAATAGGGTTGGCAATTTCTGTGAAATCTCCGAAACCGGAACCGCCAACCCTTGTTATAAGCTGAACTTTGCATAATATTAATTAGTTCAGTTGATTTTAAGTATATTTAAAAATTATGAACCTTCACAGTGAATAATTTGTAGCCTTTTTTTATTTTTGTAAGTCAGACCTGTGATATACCTGACTAAATTGTTGCTTATACTTGAATTTAGGTCAGTGAGTTAAGTTTCATTCACTCTGCTTTTCACTTGTGTTCAAGTTACTTTGTTATTGTTGTTCCCTTCACTATACTTCTTAGAGATGTTCAAGACTTGCTCAGAATCCTGATTAATGACTTTTCTTGAGTTTTTCGGGCCTTCTTATATTCCCTTCACCGTACCCTTCATTTGTTCGTTTTCTCCTTACACTTCCTTATTCTACTCTACTCCTTTCACTTTACTCTTCCCATGTTCCATTCACCTTACACTTCATGTTCCCTTCACCTTACCCTTCATGTTCCCTTCACTCTACCTTTTCACTTCTTCCCTTTACCTTTCTATTTTTTCCCGCTCAAGAATAACACACGTAAAAAATATAAACTTTTAATAGATTTTGGCGCAAAGCTTTACTCCATTTATTTATTTATACACACTCTATAACCTCTCTCTTTTTTCAATCCTCCACGTCGCCGTCTAGACCATCCCCCCTTCCTTTCACATTTTTATTTTTTCGTCTCCAACGCCCTTTCTTTTTTTACTATTTTTACGAGAAAAATGCTCTTAGCAGACGCCTGCCGGGGATTTTTTTTATTTCCTTTTTTTGTTGTTTTTGCTTTTTTAACTCAAAACAACACAACTCTTTTCTGCTTAATAACGTGTGCAAGAGTTCATCCAAAATGAAAAAAAAATTTTTTTTCTTGACAGACCCAACTTTTTTTTTTATTTTTCACTTTTTGTCTACCTCCTACTTAAATTCCTTCCTTTTTTTCTAATTTTGTTTTGATTTTTGCTAAAAGAACTTGGTTCAATCCTCTCATTTTTTTATCAGCTGTGATTTTTGCTTGATGGATTTTTGACTTTTTTGGAAGATACGGACATTAGAGTCTTACTTTCAATTTTGGGTTGATTGGAATTATTTTCATACAGTTATAGAAGTTTATCAAAAAATTGACTTTCTGGATATAATTAACTTGTATCGGGCAGATCTGTCTAAGGTCAAAGATTTTACATGAATTGAGAACAAAACCTAATAGTTGACACCACGACGAAAAATCCATATAGTCAAGATTAAATGTCTCTAACAACTTAGCTCTGGTTAATTCTTCAGCCAAAACAGGAAATTTTAGCTTTCAAAAATAATTCTTTCATTCACGACATTCAACATTATGTGTCTCAAATTCAGATTAAATTAGTATAATAGAATTAAAATAAAAATTAATACTAAGTAAAAAGGATGGCCTCCCATCCCTGTTAGGGATGGGACTGGGCCATAAAGTCCAGTCTAACAATCAGAGCAATTGTTAGACTGGACTAACAATTGCTTTGAGCTGCTTTTTCTTTGCAAAAAAGTTTCTAAAAATTTTTATGCTTGTTCCTCTCATACTACCACGTTCCTTACACATTTCCTTTGCTTGTTCCCTTCAGCTTATGTTGCTGTAAAAAATCAGTTGGAACACCCAAAATGTTTTTATTCTTTCTCTTCTTAGACAAACACACAAGATCCAAAAAATAAAAAAATTTGAGAGGAGGAAGCAAATTTTCAAAAAACAAACTTTTTTTTACTCTCAACAGTCAGCATAGCATAATTTACACCTCAGTTTCTTTGCATTTTCTATTTTTTAATTTTTGTTGGATTTTTGTTTTCAATTTTTGTTTTTTGTAAATTGCGGAAATAAAGAAGAGTTTAATAAAGGCTCTCGGTTTTGTTTCTAACCTATCAGGGATGTCCGTAAATGAAAAAATGTCCACAGCCGCAGTCCGCAATTTCAAAAAACCACTCCAATTTTTGCAATCTGCAACCGCAATTGCGGACTGCACTGTTAGAGCTTCTTAAAAGGAGTCTATGTATTTTTTATCTTACGCTCTTTCGATTTCCGAATTTTTTGCATTTTTCAAACTTACTTAATTCGAAATGAATCTGAGGCACAGAGGTTTGAAAATAGTCACATCTTTTTTCCTGATCTTTGTGTACTTTAGGAATATTCTGATCTGCCACCTTAGTTCCTCCTACTTAAGTTCGAAACCTCAATCTATAGTTTTTTAATTAAAAAATATACAAGTTGCTTAAGTATTTTGATCAATTCATTTTGTCTACACAATATACAGTGCCGGAAAAAAAGATAGGACCAGACGCACACATTTTCCTTTCTTCAAATTATCTTTCGAATTTTAGGCTTTTAAGAGAAAAAATTTGTCAGAAACTATTGATTAATTTATCCTCTATCAAATGAGTACAAATATTCCCTTTTTACTTAAGCAATTAATACTACAAAACATTAAAAACAAATACTACTCAATTTTTGGGGTGGAAAAAAAGATAGGACCAGACTAGAAATATCGACTTTTGTTCGGTCAAAAATTCTGTAAAAATTTTTATGAACATTTCCATCGATACTAAGTAGAAAATTAAAAAGAACGAGGTCTGTAACTTATTTCTTCATCGAGATCTCAAATCTCGAAAATCAACGGAAAATTGGGGTACAGTACTTAAAAAAATATTTTAACCCCCTAGAGCTTAAATTAAAAATTTTATTTTAGGCCTATCTGAAAGCCCATAAAATTTACTACAAAATAGTCCGGAAATTAATCTTTCTAAAAAAATATCCGTTTAACCCTAGTCCACTTTACATTAAAAGTGACAAAATCTCCCAAAATACCCCAAAAAAGATAACTTTCTCAATTTCCCGGTCCGTATCTCCATGAATTTTTTAACGGAAATTTTAAACGTGAGATATTCTTGTAGCAAATTTTATGGGCTTTCAGATAGGCCTAAAATAAAATTTTTAATTTAAGCTCTAGGGGGTTAAAATATTTTTTTAAGTACTGTACCCCAATTTTCCGTTGATTTTCGAGATTTGAGATCTCGATGAAGAAATAAGTTACAGACCTCGTTCTTTTTAATTTTCTACTTAGTATCGATGGAAATGTTCATAAAAATTTTTACAGAATTTTTGACCGAACAAAAGTCGATATTTCTAGTCTGGTCCTATCTTTTTTTCCACCCCAAAAATTGAGTAGTATCGTTTAAATTTTTTTGTAAAAAATTTTTTGGGTAAATTATCTCGATATTTATAATCATTTAAAAGATCATTTAAAGATCTACAATTTTTGTGTTGAAACTTTTTTTCTGAAAGTTAATCGAAAAGAGATAATCGATAAAAACTAATTTAACAGCCTCTGGTCCTATCTTTTTTTCCGGCATTGTATATTATTTTATTTATTAGAAAAATTTTTTTATTACCAATAATTTTTTCCATACACCTTTAAAACATTACTCATTTCTTCCACTTTTTTCTTCATTTTTCTTCTTATAATTTCTTCAACTATTTACGGAAGAGCGATCTCTCTCCCTCCTTAAAACACACAAAGTCCGTTGAACAAAGACCAGTCGAGACCAATTTTTTAATGTAAATATTTATTTTTATATTTCAAAATGCCCACAACACTTTCCATATAATTTTTAAAGTTTTCTTTTATTTTTCTTAAAGAAAATTAAAAATTAAAATACAAAAAAGATTAAATTTCATTCAAATTACAATTTTTTTGTTTTTCTCGTTTTCTCAGAAAAATTTAAGGAAAATAAATTTTAATCTTTTATCTTTTGAGCCTATAGGCAAAAATAATTTTTTAAGGCCTCTAGTAAAAAATTTCGAAAATTTTCATTTGTTCGACATATGTATGTAAAGGGAGAAATATAATTTTAATCATCCACCATTTTCCTCGAAAATTATTTCAAAACTCTATCCATCGCCGAATAATTTAAACTACTTTAATAAAAAAATCTCGGTTTCTGATCTGAATTTCCCGTGGGATTTCGTTTGCATGTCGGATTGAGATTAAGGATACCTGAGATAAAAGAATTATAACCAGGCTAATTAAGACTATAAAAATTTTTTCCAATTTTTTAGCTTTTATTAGCAAATAATAGCCTCTATATTTTTTAAGTTTTTTTTGTTTTTCTTCTTTCGGAGGATTCTCTCCGTCACTAAACAATCTTCAATACTTTAACAAAAAATTCGGTTTCTAACTTATTACCTTCTTGTCGCAAGACGTTTAGCGATTTTTTGAACTACGAAGCGTTGAATTTAAAAATCGGTGCTTAATCAAGGATTTTAGCTGAACCAGTTCAGCTTTCGATGTCACTATAATACGATGTCATTATAAATTTTTCCCCGCTCATTCACACTTTTACCTAATTCCTTAACATGAAAACTACTCGATCCTTTCAGAAATCTGTTACCGAATTCGAGAGCTGTTATCTATCATAAAACATTTTAGTCGGAACTTATCCAACTTACAAAAATATTCAAACTGGTCTTAAACAATTTATACTTTGAATGTTTTCATAATCTTACTTTTCTAATACTTTATTTATTTAATTAAATATGGTGTAAACTAGAGTTCGGCTCGATACGATTTTTTATCGATATTTTTCGATATTTTTTCGATATTATCGAAAAAATATCGACCGACCTCTACGGCCGATCTCTAGTGTAAACTCCGTTGAACACCAACAAATTTTATTAATACATTGATGCCCCACCCATCTATTTTTTCATTTTTTTCAATTTGTTCTCAATTTAAGCAAATTATTTTTTATTTGAAAGAGCTTTTCGAGATGAGTCGGTTGAAGCTAAAATCAAAGTAATCTTAATTAAATGTTTATTTTAATACCGTTTATTTTAACCGTTGCAGCTGCACAAAAAGTTTTCCTAGCGAGGATTAAGCTTCATAATTTTGTTCAGAATTATCAAACCTTGCGATCTATGAACCATTCGATCCGCTTGAAGAGCTCTTTCGAATGATAAATAATAAATTATATATCAAGCAAAAAGTTCAATAGGGAAACATGAGAATAGAGGGGGGGGGGGGGTTCAGCTAATTTTTTTGGTATGCTCTTAAATCGGACCTTTTCCATCACGTTTATATTTTTTCTCCAATTCAATGAATTTTTAGACAAGTAAAATTGTAAAAAAAATTTCGAAAATTTTTCGAGAACAAAATTTTCTGGATTAAGGCTATTTTGAGACTGCAACATTAACCCAAGCAACATTTAAAATTTTACACCTAAAATCTTTAACATATTTTAACTAGTGAGCAGTTCAGGGATGTGTTAATGATCAGTTCAGGGATGTGCCTTCATAAAAATTTTTCTAATAAACCAAAAAATCTGAAATTTTGTCAGATTATACGGGGCACCTTAAATTTTTTTTTGCAACATTTCCAGTTTATTGAAGTATGTAGCTAGCACAAAATTAAAAAATAAAATGTAATCGAATAGCGCGATTTATAGCTTACCTCAATAACTAAAAATACAAACAAAACACAAAAAAATACAAAAAATTCTTTAACATTATTTTCATTATATCATCATTATTTTTTTCCATTTTTAGAATTGAATTTCCTGAATTCCAAAAGAAATTTTTTTTTAATTTTTTTTCAAAAATCCTTTTAAATATGTGTCATCCCTCTTCTTTACCTTTCCCCCCTTTCCTTTTCTTAAATTTCAAAAAAAATTTTTTTTAATCTTTGGTTTTGGTCTTTGGCCATTTTTCTACCTCTCTCTCCTAAGCTTCAACTCCCTTCCAATCAACAAAAAAAAATTTGGCCCTTAACTGTGTGGGCTTTGGACTGCTAGAGAGAGAGACTAATTTCTAATCCTTCTATTTACATCCACTTTTTGCTTTAAACATCATATTTTTAGTTGGTTACGTAGTCCGTGGGTGTATTCAAGTAATAAAAGAATAAATATATACAACTACATTTATTTTTATTTTTTTGTTTAAGCGGGATGGCGTCAACCACACAAACACTAACATTAACGTTGTGGTTATTTTGGCGCTGGGCGGTTTTGGCGCGAGCAGTCATAACTGAGATTTAGCCAAAACCTTTACATAAGAAATTTTTCTCGAATTTTTCTGACTTCTTGACTAACCCCTGCAAAAATTTCAGAATTTTTAATTCGATATTCTTTAAGTTATGGTTGATAAACCAAATGAAATTAGCATTTTTGACATGTTTTGACAAAATTTCTAAAAAAATTAGCATAATAGCAATTATTTTATTATAGCAATTATTAATTTTTACGGTATGCAACAATAACATCGAAAAGTATTGAGGCCAGTGAGATATTTTTGTAAGCCAAATTATTTTGGCTAAAATCAATGTTTTAACCTATTTTCTTGTTGTAGAGGTCCTTGCCGAAACACACTGTTCTGTTGTCCAAAAATTCCGAAACCATTGTTTAATCTGATAAACATACAAGGGTTATCAATGAAAAATTATATCCTGCTAAACTTGTAAAACACTATTTTATGAACTCACGCCTCAAATAGCTCCGCGCCCAAACCTCCACTCCCTAACCTTTACGTTTTTTATATTTTTTTCTTTGGCCAGAGCCCAGCGATTACTAAAACTAACTACAACAACTACCTTTTCCATATAATAAATACTTCGCCCAATTCCCCCTCTGTAAAATAAGAGAACAAAGATTAAAAACTCGAGAATTTTCCCCCTTTTTATAAAAAAATAAAAATTTATTTGCTTTACAGAGAGGAGTAATCCTTCCTTTAATTTTTATTTAATTTATTGCAAAAATTGGGGTGGTGACTGGACAAATAAAAAATTAATTTTTTATTATTTTTTATAATTTAAAGAAAAATAATTAAATTTCATTGAATTTTTAAATTTAAAATTTGTAAGAGGCATTACTTGTTTTTTTTTGCTATAATTTAATATTTTTTACAAGCTATGGCGAGTTTGAATTTTTATTAGGTTTAAGCATGTTCAAAATTAATTATTTTACAATTCTGATATCTAAAATTCTGAAATTTTAAATACATTCTGATTTCTATTGAAATTCTGATTTTACGATTCTGATATTTTACAAATTCTGATTTGTACAAATTCTGATATATAAAATTCTGATTTTTAAAGGTTACAAAATACATTCTCCAACTGTTTTTAAATGAATTCTGATTTCTGATTCTAAATTCTGATTATTGGTAAATTCTGATTTTTTTACTAAGTCTGATTTTCTTCGTTTCCGATTTCAAAATTCTAATTTTAATAAAATTCTGATTTAAATTCTGATTTTTCCCCGTTTCTCAACTTCTTCACTTAATTTTTTAATTTTCTGATATTAAGTAACATCATAACTAAATAAATATTAATTTTTGAACGTTTAAAGCATTCCAAGCATTTATAAATATAAAATCTTTCACACGTCAGTACATAAATTAATATTATTTTTTTAACCTTCCGGAAATTACAAAATACATTCTCCAACTCAATTAATCATTTTCTTATTTTTACCTTTTTTTATAAAAAAACAACAAAAATTTGCTCTCTTCTCGATCTTTGCCCCAAAAATAGAAAAAATATTTTTAAACGAAAAAAGAGCAAAGAATTCTTTTTTTAGTGTTTTTTTGGTTTTTTTTTTATTATCGCGCAGTTCTCCCAACACTTTTTGTTTTTTATTTAATCTCTAACCAAATTTCCGTCTTTGCAAGGTTGGAGAATTAAATGGGAGGGGTGTGGGTTATTGCTTGTTTTTTTCTATTTATTTGCTGTTAATTATTAGGTTGGAAATTATATGCTATTTAAGGTAAATTTATATTATTTTTATTTAATTCTGATTTTTATTATATTAGAAAAGGTTTTACAATTGTAATTAATATTCTGATTTTTTAAAATTCTGATTTTAAATATCCTGATTTTTTAATTCTGGTTTTTATTAAATTCTGATTTGTACACTTTTTACCTTCAGTTAACTCTTATTTCTCTAATTCTGATTTTTATTCTGTTCTACCAAAGGTTTTACAATTGTACTTATAATTACATATTCTGATTTTTATTAAAACACTTATTTCTAAAATTCTGATATTTATTCTGTTTTACTATTCTGATTACAATTGTAATTTTTCTATAAGGAAACGATAGAAAAAAATTTTTTTTATAATTCTGGTTTTTATTAAATTCTGATTTTTTACAAATCTTATTTTCAGCCAACTCTTATTTCTCAAATTCTGTTTTTTAATTCTGATTTTGACTATTCTGATTTTCTAAAGTTTGATAATTACAATTCTGACATTTAATTAATTCTGATTTTTACAATTGTAATTTTTACACTTCAAGTTTAGCTATAATTCTGATTTTGATATTCTGACATTTTTCTCTTGTATATTTCTGATTTTGTAATTTCAATTTACAATTCTGTTATTTTAATTCAACTTTTTTTTACAAATTCTGATTTTCTTCTTTCTACGTTTCAATTCTTGTATTTTCAATCGGATATCATTTAATTCACCCACACTTCTCTCCTTTTTATTTTTAACTAATTTTAATTTCCTCATTTCACAAGCACGTAATCTCATTCCTTGTTTATTGCGCGCAAAGTTTAAAGAAAAAACACAATAAAAATGTTTGCGTCATTTTCACATTTTTATAAACAATTTATTTTTAAATTTTTTTTTCTTGTTATTTGTTATGTTCTCTTTTTTCTTTTTAATTTACTTGGCGGCGCTTTTTTAGTAAAAAACTTTAAAAAGCAATTGATCAACCAGCCCTTGCCTCTCTCCCACCTTACAGCTTTTTTGACTGAAAAATACCGCCTTTTATGACACACATTTTCTCAAAATTTGTTTTAAGCTTTGGACGATTTTTTGCAAAATATAAAATATTTTTTTTGAAAAAAATATTTCTCTCTCTGAAAATGTTTTTCGCATGATCTTCGTCACAAGTTTTGGATAGGACCTTATGTATTTAAATAACAAATTTATTTTGATTTTTGTTTCATTAATCTTTTTAATTTTAAACATTTTACTTTACTAAATTTTAAATTTAATTATTGTGAAATTAAAACTAAAATTTTGATTTTTACTTAATATATTTTATTTTAAAATTCTGACTGTAACTATTATAAATTTATAATAGTGTTTATAAGGAGGATTTTATAATTCTGATTTTTACAATTTATGATCATTAAACTAATCTTATAAAATTTTTCTCGAATTTTTTTTGAAATTGAAGGGGTTACCCCTTCAAAAATTTCTGAATTTCTTAACAAATTTTTTAAGTTTATAATCGAAAAATCAAAAAAATTAACGTCTATCGACATTTTGTCAAAATTTTGAAGAAAAGGTGCATAATAGCAATTATTTTATTTTAGAAAATATTATAGTATTTATTAATTTTTAAAATCCAAAAAAATAATCTTCCTCAATAAGAATATTTTTGTAAGCCATTGTATAATGGCTAAAATCAACGTTTCAGCCTATAGACCTATTGTATATGTACTCGCACTGACAACATAGTAGTTTATTCTTCGCTTAAAATAAATTTAATTCTGATTTTTAAATTATTTTACAATTCTAGTTTTTTTTAAAGAAAACTAATAATTATTTATTACTACAACTTTTTGGTTTTAAACTTTTAATTTTTTCCACAACAAACTTTTTTTCTTTCGTTCCCTTCATTAATTCACGCACTTCAATTTTCATTCTTAAAATTGTAACAAAATTTAAAAATTATTTTTTATATTTTTTCACACTATAATTTGTTTACTAACAACTTTATTTATTTTTTCTATTTTTTTTCTTCCCCAATTTTTTAAAATTTCAGCGTGATGCTTAAAAATAGTGCCGAAACGTCGTAAATTTTGTAAAATTAAAATTGTCTTTTTGCCTTTTTTTTAATTTTAACAAATAAAGGCCAAAAGTAGGCCAAAGGCAAGAGCACTAAATTATTTTAAATTGAATGAAAAATGAGGGCGAAGAGTCTCTTCAAGTTTAAAAAATTGGGGGCAAGAACAAAGAAAGCGCTGCCAATGTAATTATACGGGGAATAGGCGTTTGGGCGCAGCAAAATTTTGGCGCAAACGAGTATAACTTTAACAATTTTTAAGCTAGAGCTTTGAAATTTTGGTCAATTATCTGTAAAGGTGTTGGTAAAATTCCGTCATATCACCCGGAAACCGATTCAGACAAATGATATGTCATTCGAAAGATCTCACCGAGCTGAGTCGAACGATACCAAAATTAGCTTCGGGACTCACCTGTGGACCGAGATATAGGTCCCCGAAAATCGAAAAACCAAAGGGGGGAGTAAGCTCAATTTTGGGGTGAAAAATTCGAATATGCAAATTATACCTCATTCGAAAGAGCTTGTCGAGCTGAGTCGAATGACATTAAAATCATTGAAATCTGACTTGATTTGACAAAGTTATGATCGTTTCTTTTAGCTCCTTACCTATGGTCTCCGCGGAGGTTTTTGCTGCTACGAAGGAAGCCAAGTATGCCCACCTCATCGATGATAGGAATAGGATTAAGTTACGAGCCCAGAACCCAGCGACCGTAGACTCCCCGCGAGGCGCGTGCCGCAAAACTCCGCGCGAAGCGCGGAGTTTTGCGGCACGCGCCTCGCCGATGCCCATAGGTATACGTGACCATTTTGAGCCTCTTTATCTCGGCTCAGAATAAAGATCTCGAGCTGATTTTGGTGTCATTCGACTCAACTCGAGGAGCTCTTTCGAATGAGCTATCATTCAAAAAATTGAATTTTTCACCCCAAAATTGAGCTTACTCCCCCCTTTGGTTTTTCGATTTTCGGGGACCTATATCTCGGCCCATAGTTGAGTCCCGAAGCTAATTTTGCTGTCGTTCGACTCAGCTCGGCGTTATCTTTCGAATGACATATCATTTGTCTGAATCGGTTTCCGAGTGATATGACGGAATTTTTCCAAGGTGTTATCTAATATTGTTAAAAATTTCAGGATTTTTGAGCAATTATTTTTAAAGTTGTGGGTAAATATTTTTGGAACATCTAATTTTTTCGGGGTTTTCGTTTATTCTTCCGATTTTCTGAATTAATATTGTGAAATTTTTTAGCGATGCTAGATGACACTATTATTTCAAAGATCCAAGTTTCTACAGCCTTTTTCTAAGTGTTGTTGTGCCTAAACCTTCCCGCGCCCAAATTTCTTCCATCCCTCGCAGTCTTTTCCTCATTTATTTAACTTCTCTTTTTATAATTTATTTCGCACTTTTTAACAACTTTATCGGCCAAATTCTCGGGAATGTATTTAAAAAACGTGAGGGGAGGAGACTAAAAATTTAACAACTCTCGCGCGAGAATACATCCCCTCTCATAAAATTTTCCCGTTTTTAAAATAAAATTTAACACCAAGAATTTATTAAAATTGAATGATAAATTATTCAAACTTTAAGTAAAAGAGTTCTTAAAAATATTTTTTCAGTTAAATTAATCTTCTATTAATTTCTTACAAGACTCTAATAGCCTTACATTAATTTAATTCAGCTAAACGATTTTCTATAGACTAGGGATGTAGAATTATGAATCAATTATTTATTGTTTTGAATCATTATTTTATTTTCAATCTCTTTAATTTTTATTAAAATTTAATTTAAAAATTTTGAAAATTTTTTTTATAAAATTCTGCGACTTACAAGAGTTTAACCATTGGTTTTACCCTTTGAATTAAAAGCTTGCAGTTTACGAGCTTTTTAGCCGCTAGCTTTACCCTATGATTTAAAGAGCTTCTCTTAAATTTTGGAATTTTGACGAGCTCTTTTAACCGCTACAGCGTGTTGTTGATTTAACGAGCTACTAGAAAATCTAATTTTTTAGTAATTCACTATTTTGCAATATATCAAGATTTTATTTTAATTCATTAAATTTTTTTTGCAAAATTTTTTGCCCTTTACAAGATTAAAAATTGACTTTAAAGAAAACCCCTGCTTATTACTATTTATCACTTTTAAGTGTTTACGACGGCAGAGAGCAAGTCTGATCAGTCAAATGATCAAAATTAAAGGCCTTCCTAGTAAAGAGAGCAAAAAATTCAAAGATTATTACCGCTTAGCGGCATTTTAAAAATGAGTGGAGGGGGTTATTTGTCTGTCTGCTTTTGGCTGTTAAGAAAATTTTGAAATATTTTTTGTTGAAATAAAAATTTACGCCTCTAAATGTATTAATTTTATTTTTAATTTTTCTTTGGGCTAATTTTTCAAATTTTAAAATTTTTATTATTAGACTAGCGACGTGTAGCTCCGCTAACGCTTATTGAATTCTTATGGTTTAGCAAAGCTACTATGAGCTCTTTAGTTTGGCGTGATTTTCATAGTTTTTTCTTGCTTCAAAAATATTCTTTTCATACTCAAAAATATTTTTTAAGAATTTTTCCGATTAAAACATTGTCAATAATCATTAAAAAAATTTTGGAAAATTTTGGCTCAGGGCAAGCTCATACATATCATCAAGTGTCCCTAATTCTTGTCCTTTTTTCTAACTCAGATAAATTTTTATTTGGCTATTCCTCCGTTAAGGAATTACATTTGCTTTAAAGTTCAACAAAAATTTCAAAGTTTAGATGAACAAACAAAAAATTTCACTTTAAAAATTTCCAAAAATAGACATTTTCCCTTATTTTTCAACTCAACTTTTTTGTTTGAACACCTATAATTTTGTTTCCTCCTGTACTTTATAGCAAATTTAATTCTCTATCGAATCATATAAAAACTGTTCGGAAAGGTTTACCCACTACTGAGTTATCACAAATTTACTAACTCAGGTTCTCGCCTCTCCAGGGGCGTGACGAATTTTTGCTTTTTTCAACTTAAAAAATTTTTTCTTCTTTTTTCTTCCTCCTTATTTATTTCACACATTTACATTTTTATTATTATTCCTCCTTTTTAAATTTTGTTGATGACAAAAAGTCACGTTTTTACTTGTTATTTGCCCTTTGCTTGTTGGCCAATGGAAATAAACACTTTTTTCTTTAATATAATCTTTCTAGAAGCGCTTGTAAATGCCATAAATTAAAAATTATTTTTTTGCAGTTTAAAAGCCGGAAATTTATATTTTTTATTAAAAAATATTAAATTGTAAACAGAAAAAAAATCAAAAAAATCGCCAACATGTGACCACTTAATTTAAAATGTTTGGGATAATCCTTTACTTAATATTTAATTTTTTATTATACTGTGGGTTTTTTTATTTATCTCTGTTTACTCATAATTTGTCATTGTATTTAAATTTGTAGGATGGTATATAAATTATGGTTTTCTTGAAAGCATTATTAAGCTATTGTTTAAATTTTTTAGTCAAAACTTTTGTATCCTGAATTACAAAAATTAGAACGAAAGTATTCTACATAATCATTTTCGTTTTTCCTAGAAACTTTCATTAACATTTCAATGATAATTCACTTAGGTTTACGTCGGTATCAATGCTTAACGTAACCGAAAACATAAACTAAAACATTAAGATTCGCAGTGTTTAAAAGGCTTTTAGTCAAAACCAAGCTTGACTTACAAAAATATTTAGCCTAACTACTTGAAAACTATTTTTACAAAATTTAATTGATTTTAATTATGCATAATTGAATTAATTAATATTGTGCAAAAAATTAATATTTTAACAATACGAGTAAATTAAAGTCATGGAATAAAAATGTTCTGTTTTTAAATCATTTATTGAAGCTGGTTCCTCAAAGTTCTTTTTATGACCTGCCCTATTTATCATTTCGTCTTTTCTTTGATCATGCCCAATTTGTGATACTATTGTTTTAATGACGTCACTAAGACTTTTCCAAAACTTTTATTAAAACATAATTATATTAATTAATATTATGTTTACAAAATTTTTTTCTTTTCAATTTTTAACGATATTAATAGACTTTAATTATTTTTTAGTTCTAAATTCTTCAGAATTAAATTCTAAAAAATAATTTCATACTATTGTCTTACTCTTCAACAAAGAATACCTAAATATAATACAACACATTCCCTCAACTAAGAGAAAGTTAAAAGATTCAAAAAATTCAACATCCTTCAAAAAATGTTTTCCTTGGGCGAAGCTTTTGGAGGCCATAGGCAACAACAACACAGACACACTTTAAACGACAATCCTCCTCCAACTTCTTTAACTTCAAATAATTCTGGAAGGGAAGAAGGAATGTTAAGTGCTTTTGGTTCTCCTCCTCCTCCACCAACTTCTAATTCCGCAGCCCCTCCACATTCTTTAGCAGATTTGGCATCAACAGCAAATTCTTTATTGTATGCTTTACAGTCTTCTCAATCGAATGCTGTTATTGCTGCTAATACTATTTTGGTAAAATTAAATTTAATTTTTTATTTAGAGACGGGTTTTCAGAGTTAGGAGCTGGAGCAAACGCAACGCAAGGCCAAAATTTAACGCAAGAGCGCAAAATTGGGAAAAAAAAATTTTTAATCAAGTATTAGCAAATATTGCTTCTCTAAAGGTCCGGGTTGTTATAGATACCTTAAATGATATGAATTTGTCATTACTGCTTTTGTGAAGATAAATGGAAAAATCTGAGACGATTTAGTAATTTCTGCCTATGAGCCGTAACTTTATAAACTCACACAAAACATAAAATTTTAGCCAAAGTAATAATACTTGACTTTCAAAAATAACTTTTTGGCCATATTTATCCGATATTTATGTAAAGCAGCTAGTAATTTTATTAATGCATAAATGAAATAATCGCTATTTTGCATATTAGAGCAAAAAGTCATTCAAAAATCAAGGTTCCCGGTGTTATGTTATTTTAACATTAAGGTCTAATCTCGTGTTATAATCAATTTAATATATTAAATAAATGTATTCTAATTTTTCTAAAATTTTCTAGCAAAACTTTGTGAGTGCTCTCCCTCACCAAACATCTTCTTCATCTTCCCTGGGACAAAATGCCCCAAAAATAGAAAATTCCCAAATCCAACAAAAATCGTTTTCCACTTCCTCCACAACAAATATAGAGACAACAAACAACAATTCTAATAACCCTCTAATTAATGGGTTGTCTAATAAATACAACAAACCACCATTATTGGATGATGGAGGGAGATATAACCAACAAGAAATTTTTAATCAACAAAGGTATTTAAGCATAAATTCATGTACGCTTTTAGAATAAAAGTCCGAACTCCAAATAAGATACATCGTTTACTAGAGAGGAGCCTCTATATAAGGCAGATAGGCCCCTCAGTAATGAGGGCAGACATTATTATGAGAAAATTACTGATTTTGACTTAAATTAAAAAACCACTTAATATAAATAGATCGAATATTTTTTTAAAGTTAATCATAAATATTTTCCTCAATTAGGTGATAGCCAATTTTTTGTAAGCTAGCCTATAAAATGCGTTGCCCAGAGATTTATCAAAAGCGATGTCCAAAATGATTTTTTAGCGGTTTGTAATTTAGCTTAACAAAATTGTTGAGCTTTCAAAAATATAAGACGGTGATTCTGGTGCAGTATACATTTTCTAAAATTTCTTATTTTAATTATAATCTAATAAATAAATATGCGCTATTATGTACTTTGTTATTTGATTATTTAGTAATACCTTTTCTAAAATTATGTAGTAATTGGATTTAAAGCAAAAAATTTTTCCTCATATAGCTTTAAGCTCTTAGACAAACTACATTAAAATTTCTTCAATTTCCAGTTCACCATGTTCCTCTTCTCGAAGTACCACACCCACACCATTGGTATCTTCCACAACAAACCCAAAACCTTTTATTAATGGAAACGGAGACCCTCCACACTTTCAAATAGGAAAATTCACTCTAGCAGCTAAACTAAACTCGAATAAATCTGAGGGCTGTTTGGAACTTTATGGAGGACAACAACAAAGTAGTAATTCTTCGGCTGATACTCCAACTAATGGACAACCTATGGAAATTAATGTTTGGTTGGTTTATCAGTTTTAAGACAAAAATTTTTGTTCTGTGACACGAATATTCGAACGATAAATTTTAGTCGAAACAAGTCTGACTTTCAAAAATATCAAGCAATGGTACCAAGACTGACAATAACTTATTGGCAATGACAAGCTTTATAAAATAGTTATTTGATAAAATAAATATTGTGTAAAATCCATTGAACTCTAATTTATGCCCTCTACCAGAATTTCCTCATATTCTGGCAACTCTATCTAAATCAAAAATAAGATTTCTAAAAACACAAACTTTTATTTTTCAAAATATCTAAATTCAAAATGTCAAATTTTAAAATACACAAATTATTATTTTTTTAGCAATGTTTGTGGCGACGAAGCTTCTGGTCGTCATTACGGTGCTTCTACTTGCTTTGGTTGTAAAGGGTTTTTTCGTAGAACTGTGCGGGCTAATAAACAATATAACTGCCGATATGAAGAAAAATGTCAAATTGATAAAGGTAAATTTTAAATTCAATTTTCTATTGAGTCAAATTTAAATTAACAAAGTTGGGGTAGCTCATTCATCTGGCTCATTAATTTCATGGCCCTTTTCAGTAGAGTAGGTCGAGGTTTGTTGAAAAAGCTGAGGCCGAGGAGCACCGAGGCTTGATCGAGGTTAAGAGGCAAAATTCAACATACAAAAGAATTACTTTTTAATTTTGATAAAAATTATTTTGGATGTTTAGAAAATTTTTTAACAGTTTTATAAAATTATTGAAAATTCTCGTCTCCCGATCCCGGCTCATTAGATCATTTCCCGAGCCCACTCCCAAGTTTTTTCTTCTAGGAACATTACTATGTTATGGTACCACAGTTTGTTATTAATTTTAGCCACGTGTGCATGGCTTACAAAAATAAAGCATTCATAGCAAAAGCATGTGCAATAAAGCAGGCGGTCAATCTTTTTATATAAAAAAATAAATGAAATAATTGATATTATGAAGTTTCTTTTACGTTTTTCAGTCGGCCGCAACATTTGCCGTGCTTGCCGTTTCCAAAAATGTTTAACTGTCGGGATGGAACCAGAAGCAATCCGTCCAGACCGCGACAAGACTGGAAAACAACGAAATCCTCGGCGTTCTTCCCACACTTTGGGTACCTCCTCTCTTTATTCAAACGGCGGTTATTTTGATGGGACTACGTCTGGGGGTACTTTAACTATAAAATCTCAATCAACAAATACTTCTGTGGCTGGAGAATTAAATCAATTAATTACTGACGAAGATTTTTATCTAAATAACGGTAAATTTTTTAAAATTTACGATTAGGAGTTCTAGGACGAGAGCTGATAAAATCAGAAGTTAGTTTTAGCCACTATAAAATGGCTTACAAAAATACAATTTAATTTTTGATCTATTGGGTTGTCGCACATACTTGTAAAAATTAATAAATGATCTGTAAATAAGATAATTCATATTGTACAGAATTTTTGAAAATTATGACCAGCAATGTTGATTCCATTAGATTCATCGGCTATAACTTGAAAAATATTTTATAAAACCAAAGCTGGGTCTCTGGTCTAAAACCTTGGAAACACGCAAACTTGAAAACCAGATTTAATAAAACTATAGCAAGTTACCGTTCCTTTGACTTGATTCTGTTATAGCCCTAATTTTTAGAATTCCCCATTATCCTTTTACCATCCTTCTCAATAATATAAATTAAGGTATGCAAAACGACCCTCTAGCTAGACGACGAGCCAACACAATAAATGATTTGCGCTCTTTAGCAGAAGAAATTAGGCGTTCCCAAAGAGATCATGACCAACAACAATTACAACGTATATCTGAAAGTGCGAGTGTTGTTAATGGAAATGGAGGTGCTTCGTCTCCAGAATTTGAACAAATGAGTCAGGAAAAGGCTTTGATTATACAGGTGGGGGAAAGTTGAAATAATTGGTGTGGAGAAAATTTTATTGGATAATGTAAAAAGAGGATTAATTTACTTAATATTAATTAATTGAGTTTGGAGTTATCTAAAATTTTTAAATAGGTTAATGTTTATTAACCTGCCAGTCATATCGATTTTTTATTTTTGTAAGTCATGTCGTAAACATTGACTAAATGTGTGAATTAATTTGTTTAAAGCTTGGAATGGGTCGTCCATGCCTATTTGTTTAAATTATTTACCATAATGATTTACTTAATGTTAATTAATTTTGTTTGTTTTGGATATAAGTTTGTTAATATAAAGCCACTAATACTGTAGTGACAAAGGGGTAAACGCCTATATTTTTGCAAGTCAAGATTACAACTTGACTAATTCCATAGGAGATTTGTTTGAGTTTGGGTTGTTTAGAAGGTGTTTAGTTAATAACACCTTATTTTAAAATAACCTCACGACCACAAGTTCAATTCGTTTTATTTTCAAAACTCTAAACACAATTTTGTAAAACAGTTCAATTAAAAAATATTTTTAGACACTTCGAGAGATCGAACGTATTGTTTGTATATCAGAACAACAACAAAGACAACAATCCCCATTACTCAATTTGTCTCCTAAAAACAAACAAGAATTGGAAGATGATGAAAGAATGCGTAAAGAATTTGATTTGGCAATTAGAGCAGGGAATTTGAGTGAAATGGATCAAATGTTGGCTGCTTTACAACAACCGAAACTTATTGCTGACAGAACCGAGGTGAGAGAAATTTTTTATTAAACGTTAACAAGGTGCCTAATATAAAGTATGACGGATTTCGTAGAATCTATAACGTAATATTAGCCAAACAAAGAGTGGCTTGCAAAAATAATTTTTCGAGTTGGGCGTAATGGATAAGATGTTACTAATTCAATACAATTTTATTTATATAAAATCGTAAATGCAATAATTAATATTATGTAAATTTAAATTTCTTCAAAAATATTTTTTGAAATTTTTTCAACCCAAAAACAACTAAAAATAGTCTAAAAGTGATCTATTGGGTATAAGAGACCAACTTGTTGACAAAGAACAAAAATTCCTCGTGACACCCAGCTGGCGGAAATGTGTAAAAGAAAGTGCAGAGTGAATGTCTATTTTTTCCCTTTTCTTTTTCTAAAGGACAAAAATAAAAAGAGAAAAAAATATTTTTGAGTGTCTGCCAAATTGGGTCTTGTCTCCGTTAAAAATTTCTTTTTGGTCGTTGTGCCATTAAAAAAGAAAAAAGAGCGTTGGCGTGAAAATCAAGAGCGACACTTGCGAACAAGCAAATTGCGGTCTTAGGCAAAAATAAATTTTAAAATTTAATAGAAAATTTTATTTCTGATGTCTTATCACTGTTAAAAAATTTTTTGCATTCCTCTTTAATATTTCTACCCATAAAATACGCCCCAGGACAAATACTAAACAGAAACGCCGCAATTGTCGTGTTCGCAAATGTCGCAAGGCTGTAAATAAATAATAAAATAAGAACAAATAGATCGTTGGTCGACGGGAAAAGACTAAAGTCCGTTTGGCGGAAATTTTAAAATAAAAATGTAAAGAAAATGTAAATAAATAGTACAAATTTTATAAAAGTACATAGATGAGAATAACCGCGTGAAAAAAAAGAACGAAAAGGAAAAAAATTTTGAGGGAAATTTAAGTTAAAATTGGGGGGATTTTGGCCGAAATAATGTGATATTTATTTGAATTTTTTATGCTCCTTTAGAATTCGGATAATTCATACTTTTAGTCAAGCCAAATCTGGTCGACTTTCAAAAATATAATCATTGTCGTACTACATCCGAATATTCGTCTAAACATTAGTGTCGATTATATAAGAATTAATTTGAAATAATATATATTATGCAAACAATTTTTTTCAAGTTGAATTATTCTGGAGCTCGATCACTCTCAGAATGGGCAGAATTACGTTATGCTTTACGTCGCCAATTGTTGTTAGCTGTAGACTATGCAAATACACTTAAACCTATTGCTGATTTGGCACAAGTAGAAAGGGTAAGGATTATTTTGTGAGAATTCTTTTGCAACTCAAAAAATGGACCAAGATTTTTTTTAATTTTTGGCCTGCAAAATTGAAAGCCGATCCTAATTCTGGTTTTATTCTCTGAATTGGAGTATGGGTGATTTGACAGAGTCCTTAACTTCCTTGAAAATTTTATAACTCGTCCTTACTTAAATTTTTCCTCTTTTCAGTTGTCACTCCTACGAGGCACCCTGTTACCCTTTACGGTCTTTGCTGTAGCTTGTCAAAGTGCGTTTGCACATCGAAGTGAACACATTTTGTTGCCCAATGGATTATTCATTGATGCACACACTGCTTTGGATTTACTTTTGCCTAGAAAGGGGGCAATGTGTCCTCCAATGCTTCGATGGCGTTTGGAGACTATTCGGGCTGAGTGGCTAAATACTTTGGTTAGCATTTTGGATATTTGAATATTACAGGGATTTATTAGGCTTAATTAATAGTTATAATGTGAGTTAACATACGAACAAACAGAACCGAAAATTCGGTAAGGACATATGAAAGACCTACATACTACTGCAATTAGCTAAGTTTTTATTTGCAAAGTATATATTATTTTAATTAGATTTTTATAATAAATAATTCGAGAGGGAATCAGCATGTGTTAAGCATTTTTTGTTTTTCAAATTATTTTTGTGAGTTAAGTGTGATACTTTACTAAATTTCTAATTTAGGACCTAAAATATGGAAAAATATATCTATATGATCTAAGGACTGCTAAACTTTAACATCAATTTATTTTTTTTACATTTCAGCAGCCATCTCTTGAACAACTTTCTCTTAGTGAAGTAGAATATGTTACTTTGAAGGCAATAATCGCTCTCGAACCTCACACCCCTGGGCTAGGGAGAGAGACTATTCGTCTGCTTAATGTTGCTCGAGATTCAGTTCAAAATGCTCTCTTTCTGCATTTGGTAGATCAATGTCCACAAATGCAATTGGCAATTGGACGTTTTGGAAGATTGTTAATGCTTGTTACCAATATTACGGTAGGAGATTTGGGAGAAATTATTTAAATATAAGTGGGTGTTAGTTTTTTTTCTCATCAGATGAACATTTTCATCAGATGAACATTTTTAAAATTTTTAAAGCTCTCGATAGTCAATTGAATTTTTTTACTCAACTTTTATTTTTTTTTCAATTTTTAAACTCAAGTAAATTTAAGTAAAATCCATATAATCACAGAAAATATTTACTTTCGCTAGTCTAAAAGCCTTAACATTATTAACAGTCATTCAAAATTTTGATGATTTTATATAATTCGTAGCCCATTAAATTCCTTATCGAATGATATTAAAATGTTTCTTAGTTATACTTGAGTGTTATACCTTTGAGCTTAGATGTACAGCTCAACTTATAACTCCAGGGCTAGAGGGAGAGATAATTATTAAATTAAACTTTATTTTCTGAGAGCTTTTATTTAATATAAATTATTTAATTATTAATTAAAACATCATAAAATATTTTCCAGAAAATTGCTTCACACATTTCCAACCTGGTCCAGGCTTTTGTCGAATATCAACAACAACAACCAAATTTGAATACTATAGAACCTGATATTCTTTTGACTTTTTTAACATTTACACAACACAATTCAAATAATTCTTTAATGAATGGAGACGATCGAAGGCGCACCTCTGCCGCGTCTTCAAGCAGTTCAGGCACCTGTAGCAGCAACACAGACAGTCCAATGATGCGTGGGACAGTGTCGACACTCGCCGCTGAGGCAGCGGAAGAGGAAGATGACGAAGAGGAAGAAGGGGATGATGAAGAGGGGGAAGAGGATGATGATGAGGAATTGAGAGATGAGGAAATACAAATGGAGTGAATCCAAATATTGACAGGCTATTTAATTTTTTCAAATTTGGCGGTGTTTAGGCGTTATGACTTTTAGGGAAAAATCGTTTTGTGAAAAAAATTTTAATTTTTTGAGGCACGAACAGAAAATTTGCACCATACTATTCCTGAATTGTTAATTGTTTACCGATTTTGTTATATATGAAATGCCAGAACTATTATTTTTTGGTATTTTGATTCCCCTGAAATATTCCATTTTTTTATTTTTATGTTGTTTTTTGTTACAAAAAAATGCCAAAAAAATTTTCTAATATATTTGATTTTTCTGATTTATTAAGTTAGGAAAAAGTGATTTATAGTAGCTTTCTAAACCTCATAATGGTTTTTGAACTCCGCCTTGAACATCCGAAACTGCTTTACATTTTAAAATGATTGCGCTTTAGAAGCTCAGTCTTTTAATCATTCCCAGAAGGCTATTTACTCTTAAAAATGTTTAATTGCAGAATTTCTTTGGCATTTTTAATTTTATTTTATTGAATAAAGCCCGTTATTTTTACCAGAAAGCTGCCGTTCCTTTCTTTAATAATTATTTTTATTTAATCATTTACCACAATTGAGAGAACTTTATCCAAATAAAATGCAAAACACTCGGCTCTTTCAATTCCACACCTCAAAATTATTTTTTGTTTGTTAAACGTTAAAAATCTTTTCTGTTTTAACGTGTTTCCTCATTCTTCAAAACTTTCATTTACTCCGTATATAATATTTAATTAATTAAAATGAGCATGAAACGAATTTCAAAACCTCCGCGATTTTCTTTCTTATTACACTAAAATTGGAATATAGTAGAGAAGTGAACCAGACGAGATTTCTAAAAAATTGCATTATTGAGATCGATAAGTTTTAAGATATGTCTTATGACCTTGTAATCCCTTCTCTATATATAGTAAAAATTCCAAGCTCTATTTTATGAATCTTAAATTAAGACCTTCCTTCAGTTTTTTCGTTATTGATATTGGCAAGTTTTCGTGGACATCTCTACTATATAGTTGTTGCTGGAATATTATGATCATTACAATCATTCTTTATATTTAAAAGGCTAGGTAATTTAACTAAATAATTTTGAAACAATAGTATTAAATTTCCTAGCCTTAACCTGTTATTTTTAATTAATTACCACATTCTTTTTCAATTTATGCGGACATACCGATGGCACAAATGTGTAAATAAACATTTGAAAATAAATTTGATTAGATAATTTGAAATTACTTTGTTCTATTTCTGTTTTTAATCTGCTTTCATATTTTTCCCCTTGAATATTCCACAGTTTATCCGGTGTTATAAAAATTCGTAAATTTAAAATATATATCTATTCTTATTGGAATTTTAATTCTTTTGTAATAAAAATAGCGAAACTGTAGCCCTAGAGGCTTGTAGCACTAGTGGCTTAATAATACATGAAATATGGCTCAAACGTATTTGTAGGGTACAAAACCGCCATTAGTAAAGAGGTCTTTCAAAATCACTGAATAGTTTTTGGGCTGATATTATCAGCAAACACAAATCAAACATTCTATAGAAACAAGTTTCGTAGTTTTTATACAATTATGTATTAATTTTTCAAATAAAATATACATCGACATGGCTAGTTTTATGAAAATTATTTTTCAACTATTTAATATTAAGTAGATTTTTTTCACAACTGTAATTTAAACAACTTTAGATAATCGCGATTAGTTTTTTTCCAATTTATATTAAAATTATATTAGACATTCTCTAGTTAAATGTTATTATGATTATTTTTATATATTTAGTAACTTTATCTTTCTTTTTAAAATTTTTTGAATTTTTAAATTAAAAACTTTTTAAATTTAAAAACTTTTAGTAAAAAGTTGTCTTTTGACCATAACTTTTGAAATACAAAACTAAAATTACTGAAACTTTCAGAGAGGTCGATAATAAAAATGTATGTATATCCAGCAAAATCTCAGAAACATAGAAAAATTTTTTAGCCATTTTATTAACTCACTTTTTCTCTTTTACGTGAAGTTTTCTAGTCAAATTAATTTATAAATTTGCGGAAAAATTAATTTAAAAAATTAAAATTTTTTTTTGAAAAGAAAGATAAGACTTTCTTCAATTCTTTATTATATTTTTTAATTTCCCGCGTGATTTGTTAACTTTAAAAACTTTCAAAATTATGTTTCTTCCTTTCCTTTCCCATTCCTAAAAACAATTTTTATTTACTCCAGTGAAACAAACAAAACAAAATTATATATTTTTCTTTTAAAAACAAGAATAAAAAATTTGAAAAAAATGTTAAAAATGTTTGAGTTTATTTTACTCGTGGGCAGAGCTGGACGCAATTACAGAATGCGACATAGTCTGTGTACAGTAAATCTCTTTAATCAAAACCGAGTTGTTTTGTATTCATTACTAAAAATTGGGCATACTCCCGTGTTTTCCCGTGTTTTTTAAAGATATTTATAAAATATAATTTAGATGATATCCAGTTTAACTTATATGTAGATTAAAGTTCGATTTGGAAAAATATCGATGGATTCGGCTTTAAAAATTCTTGCCAAAAAAGCCAAAAATCCAAGAATGAGCAAAAAAACTAAGAAAATTGACTTTAAAATTTGGCAGAAAATTTTATTCTCATTAATTAATATTAAATACTTAAAATTTAAAATAAAATTTTAGTGCTTTAAGTTATTCGGTGCTTTTTGTTTCCCTTCATCCTAAACAACCGACTACTTTAAGTTTGTAACTATTTTCAGCCCTTTCTTATGTTTTAATTTTTGTTTTTTTCTGGCGATCCTGTTGTTGAAAAGGGGGGGGGGGTGAGCTAGCCTTCAATGTAAATAAATCTGAGCTGCTTGCCCGGTCAATTAAATGCGCGATGAGCTGCCTGACTGTCAATTAAAATGCGCGCGTATATGAATTAGGATTTCACTCATTTAAAGAGAGTGACTCTAAATTTTAAAATTTGGGTTTAAAAATTATTGCAAAATTTTGCCCTATGTAATTTTATTCTTTTTTTTTAGCCGACAGGGCGCATATACATGTCATATGTTGCCAGCTATATACATATTTCATAATTATATAATTTAAAAAAACAAGAATATAAGTGTTTTATTAGACAGAAAATCTCTCTAATAATTTGATTTTCGTTTAAAAGTTTCAAACATTTAGTTAAAATTTAGATAGATAAAAGATTTTGGCTTTACTCCAGTTTATACGTCCAATCGACATTTATGCGTCCTAAAAATGTTTTTGCGTCCAATCAAAGTTTATGCGTCCAATAAAAAGTAAATTCTTAAAAATATATTTTATTGTAAAGATGATTCACTTTGCAGCATTTAAAACGCTTAGGCGGGGGTTAAACGATTTAAAAAAAGAAACATTAGTACAATAATATGTATATGCTATAACCAGTGATTGTCTGGTCCACGATTTCAGCTTTGTAATTTTGCCCATTTTCATATAACTAAGATTATTCAAAAGTGTATACGGAGATTACAAATCTGAAATCGTGGATCCGATAGGACGCATTTATAGGACGCATAAACTGGAGTAGAGCCAAAATGTTTTGTCTGTCTAAATTAGAACTAAAGGTTGGAACTTTTAAACGAAAATCAAATTATTAAAGAGAGTTTCCGTCTAATAAAACACTTATATTCTTGTTTTTTTAAATTATATAATTATGAAATATGTATATAGCTGGCAACATATGACATGTATATGCGCCCTGTCGGCTAAAAAAAAAGAATAAAATTACATAGGGCAAAATTTTGCAATAATTTTTAAACCCAAATTTTAAAATGTAGAGACACTCTCTTTAGATGAGTGAAATCCTAACCCATATACGCGCGCATTTTAATTGACAGTCAGGCAGCTCATCGCGCATTTAATTGACCGGGCAAGCAGCTCGAATTCATTTACAGCTTACTTTTTAATTTTTAAAATTTTTTGTATTTTTAAAATATTTTATTTTAAATTACAATAAAATATAAATGCCTTTAGACGTGACTAATAATGAATTTATCAAATTTGCTTTTCGCTCTTTTCTGACTGCTCAAAATTATAAGGGAGCGGAAATCCTTTATGTATATCCGCTAAACTACCAAGTTTCTGTCAGGAACATCCAAAATTTTAGAAATTTTCTTGTGATATTCTCATAATATACCTAAATTAGTAAACACAAACCATTATGATTTTTTAAAAATTTTAGATGAATTTTCCTAAAATTGCAACCATTCTATTTACATTTTTTATTTTATTTGATTTAATAGAATGCGGTAAAGGTAAAGATAAAGCTGGTGAAGAACCTTCTTCACCACGAAAGGTAGAAGAGAGCGCGGGACGATCAAGCGGGAGAGGACGTGGGCGCATAATTGGTGGCCAAAGACCACCAAGCACAGGAGAAGGAATGCATGAACTTGGAAGGGCTGAGCATGGAATTATTGGGCATGGAATAGCTGGTGAGCAACTGAATATAGGACCCATGCGAGTAAAACATAAATCATCTGATTTACCACCTAATTTTACGGAAGAATATCGAAAACGAATGGCTGTAATTCAAAACAAAGGAAAAGGAATAGAATTTAATGAAGGAGGAATTCCAATGAGAGTTAAGGAAAAGACACAAATTCAAGAAAAAGGGAAGGGGCAAGAAAGTAAGCGTTTATTAGCTAAATTGTTATAAAATTTAGAATTACGGGCTACTTGGAAAAGTTGTTATTAAGAAAAATTGATTCCCTCCCAGGGTTGGGTCATACAAAGGTCGAAAGAATTTCGGGAGACGCCCTGGGAGTCCGGTCCCCAACCTTAACTAAGAACGGTTAAAACAAAACTATTAACAAAATACTTTTATTCAACACAAAAATGGGAAAGTTTAAGAGGCAGGGGGAAGTAAGAAAAAGCCTTTTTCTTTTTTTAAATCGTTCGGTTAATACTGAATTTTTTTGGGCTTTTTCTTTTCTTTTATAAAGCTGAGGGAACGTTACTCAATACAGCTGTCAGATCTATAACATTTGTATATATCTCACTGTCCATTTTAACGAAATACACAAAAGTTTTCAATAGATTATTGTGGTAAGAGTTTCGCAAAAGTTTAAGCACCGGGCAGGATTCACCAGGCAACGGTTAAACTTTTTCTTATCTTTTTATGCTCTTTAACCACTGAAAAAGCTTTTAAAAATCATCCCTACATCATCAACTAACAGACACGAAATGCGTCAGATTTCTAGTCAAGTTCTCGGTTCAGCCTTGCTCTTTTTTATGATATTTTTACTTTTGCTACTAAAAAATAGTTATAAATTCAATAATTTAGCTACTCAATATTTAATTTTTAAAATAAACTAACGGTAATGATTTATAAAATATTTAAGAGCCAACATTTGGGCGTATGTCGAGTTTTAGAGGCAGCTATTCACCTAGCAGAAATATTAGTAATGAATATGGAATACCGCCTCTGCCTGCACCTGGTACACTTCGAATAGGTTTGGATTTTCAGATATTTAAAAAATTTTTTTTTATATATTTTGAAGACTCCAGAAATTCGAGAATTTCAAATATCGACATTCCTGCTAAAGAAGAGACCATTTCCGAAGAAAAAGATGAATCAGATGAAGATTAAGAATTCATTTAGAATCGAGAAAAGAAGATTATAGGGGGTCTTTGTTAACTTTCAAACTTTCAACTTTATTAACGCATGCTTGGATGTTTCTTTTTCCTTAACCAATTTATTTTTACGCCTTTGAAACAAACAAAACAAAATTATCTATTTTTTAAAAAAACAAAAGTATAGTAAATATTTTTTAGAATATTTAAAAAATGTTTGAGTTTATTTAAGTCTGGCGGGGTTACCTCCCACCTAGCAGATCAAAAATGAAAGTGTGGTGGTGTTGGTTCTGTTTTAAATGTAGGATTGTTGGTTGGTTAACAAACTTGCATCGCGCAACTAATATGATTAAGTCACCATCCAAACCTTTGCAATTTTCTGAGATTGGTTCATTAGCTTTAATATATTTAGGACTTATTCCTACAGTCTTTTTTAGAATTCGAATTATTGCAAAAAATAAATCGAAAATGGAAACTATTAATTATAGTGTTATATATGATTTATAATTGTTATGATTCCGTGACTTTTGCGCCGAGAAAATTTGCGCCGCTATTTAATTCCTAAGGCTGTGCAGTAGGCGGCGTGTTGTAATGGCTAACACATCAGTCCGGTCTACTGAAGATGCTGGTTCACTCCAAGCCGCTGAATATCATTTTGCACTAGCTAAAGGAGAGAAATAGCTTTAGTCCAGCTGCTTTACTCTATTTTTTAGAGAATTATATTTTTCTATATAAAATTTAATAATAAAAATTCAATGTCTTATCCGAGCCATGAAATTACCTCTATGCCGGCCAATCTTTCATATTGCCTTGTATTTTTTATTATAGGGAAAGGTCTTTAATCGACTTATCTTCACGTGAAATAGCAATTTACGTGTTTAGATTTGCTTATTTATTTATTGGCTAGATATATTTTTGCAATTAGAATAAGCTTATGTAAGAAGTAGCTTTACTCGCTGTTTCTTGGCTCGCAAACAGCCTTCTTGTCTTAATTTGGCTCGCAATTTATTAAAAACTCAAGCAATATTGTCTTTAAAATGCTATCATATTTTATTAATTAATTATCATTAAGCAATTTTCATTTTAAAATATTTTTTAAGAGAGAGAGATAGAATGAGCTATAATTTACATATCAGAATTTTTTACCCCAAAAATCAGCTTACGGCCCTCTTGGTTTTTTAATTTTCAGGAGCCTTATCTTGCGAGTTTTAATGTCCTCGAAAAAACAATTATACGATCGACTCAGTCTGCGGGAGTATATTTAAAATCCAGGTCTTATGCCCCACGTATTATAGTGACCCTTCTATTTTTTCCCTATTTGTGCAATCCGGTCTTAACTCCTATCTTTTCCTACTTTAACTGTTAAATTTACCCAATTTTTCTTTGTTCATGTTTCTACATATTTGAGTCATCAATCCTAATTACCTATTTTCTTATCGTAACTTTTTTAATGCATAATATTCTTTGTGAAGTTAATATATTTATTCTGGCGAATCTGAATATCTCGCGTTCGGATATTGTACATGGATCCAGATATATATGATATCCCAAAATTTGCCAGCTATACGTGTTCTTCTTTTCAAATTACGAATTTATTTTAGCCAACATTTAAATTTTTTAAGATTTGCGCGAATATTCAAATTTTTAGAAATTTTATTTTAATAATCTCATAATCAGAGCGAATTTTTTTAGGTTCAAAAAACCTGATAATAGGTACCTAAAAGGTTAGAAAAAAAGGCTTAAAAAGGTTGAAAAAAACGCAAAAAGTATCAAAATAGGTACGAATTTTTAACAAATAGTTTGTATTGTTAGAGTTTTTTTCAATTTTGTGTTTTCAATTTATGGTTTTTCAAGTTTCACTGCCCGTAATTCGGCCCTATCAAGTCAGATTGCGCTGATTTTGGTGTTAATCAACGCAGATTGAGAAGCTTTTTCAAATGAGCTATCATTCAAAAAATCGAATTTTTCACCTCAAAATTGTCTTTTCCCCCGTATGGTTGTTCGATATTTGGGTCCATGTAACTCTGCCCTATGAAGTCAGATCGCTTTGATTTTAGTGTTATTCGACTCAGCTCGGCGAGCTCTTTCGAACTAATCACGCCTTTGAGAACTAATCACGCCTTTGTCCTCAAAGTAATTTTTACCGATAATTGGTTAAAAAGGATAATTAAATATCAAAATTAAAAATTTTTTTATAAAAAACCAGAGATTTAGTGAAAAAATGACTTAAATTCTCAAATATTTGCGAAAATAAAGGCAATTTTTAAGATTTTTTTCAAAAAACCTAGAATAGTTTCAAAAAAGTCCGAAATAGGTTGCAAATAGGTTTTAGGTCCAAAAAGGCCGAAATAGGTTTTTTAGGTTCGAATAGGTCCAATATAGACTCATTATTTCGACCCAAAACAGTGTTTTTTGTGCATATCTCATCAAAACTAGTTCGCAAAAAAATAGAGAAAAACCTAAAAAAACTCGCTCTGGTCATAATTGTATACATAAGTGTTATGTCTGTCCGAGACTAACAATATTTTACTCTCAAATTTATTTGAGGAAATAACTTTATTTATTTTTATTTTAACTCTAAATTAATGAGGACTCAATTTATTCAATATTTTATTTTAAGTTTTAAGCTTAGTTCAATTGAAGCTGAAATGTACAGAAAATAAATGGGTCTTTATATGATTGATAAAAGGCGGGTAATTAAAGAAAGTTGAATATGTTTAAGATTTGTTTATAGGTTAGGAAAGGTTTGATAAGGAAGCATAAAGAGTAAATTCAAATTATGTTTTGAGGGAAATATTGTAAAGTTAAGAGCGGGATAGACAAAGAAGGGAAATGTGAATGTATTTAAAATTAAGCCATAAGGAAGGAAAATATTTAAATAAATAAAAGGGAATTAAATATAGGTTGGCAAAGTTTAAATTGCAAATATAGTTTGGGGGAAGAATTTGAATTAAGCGGGGAAAACTTTTAAGATAATTAAAAACAACATTTAAAAATAAATATTAAATTTTCTTAAATCACGGACACAACAATAAGTTGGAAAACATAAACCTTATGATTTTTTAAAAATTTATATAAATTTTAAAATAAATATAAAATAAAAAAAATATAAAATAAATAAAAATAAATATAAAAACTGAGCCCATATCTTTACTGAATATCGATATCTTGATAAACCGAAGATCAACGTAGAAAAGTTGTAAAAGTCTCTTTAAATATTGTTTTAAAATTTTTTAGATCATTTTAGAACGCCATAGAAAGTTTCTATAAGATAGCAATAATCTACAATATTTCAGAATTTATCATTGTAATTTTTATAATCCAAAACTTCATTTGTAAAATAAATCATTTAAATTAGAGGTATTATTTTTACTTTGCAATTTGAAAAGGAAAACATATTGTATTGATAAGGAAAAATGACAGAAAAGGAAAAATGAGCGAAGCACTTCTCCCAGGCAAAAAATGCAAGAAAAGGAAAGAAAAGAGCAGATTCTCTTTGCGGAAATGTAGACCGCCAAATGGACATTTACCATTAGAAAGCTATAGCCGATTCAATGATTTCTGATTTTTCATATTACCAAATTAAAATTAAAAAGAGTAAATCTAACTAATTTAACGTTAAATAAAATGTATGTTGTAATAAATCACAGAATAAACAAGTAAATACCTAAAGTATTTAATGTTTCTTCTATATCTGTGAATTCTACTAAAATGAATTTTTGTGTAAACTACATGCAGAGGTGGGAGGAACAGTCAGAGATGTCGGAAATCGGAAAATCAGGAAATCGGAACTGGCTTAAAAGTCGGAACTCGGAAATCAAATTTTTTTTCGGAAATCGGATTCCGACTCACCTCTGACTACATCTACATAGAAAATGCTTTTTAGTAAATTATTATCGAATTCCATAAAAATTTACAAATTTGTTTAATCTGTTTGTAAAACTCATATAGTGATTTCGAATTGGTTCTGATCCATGGTGTAAATTGTAAAAATTCGGAAGGGTAACGTTTCTATACTATAGTTAATTTTAATTAGAGGGGCCCAACCTTAATTAATAGAGAAGATGTTGATGGTAATGCATGCGGTAAATAGAACTTCCAGAGGTAACGCAAGCGAGCGGGTGAATGATATTGGTTAACCATTTGGTCCGCCTAATAGCAGACCGAAAACTAGGCCATTGATGAATTGAGAACAAAGTTGGAATGAACATAACTAAGCCGATTTCTTTATTTCCCTTCTCTCTAGGCGGGGTTTTTATTCGTTTCTCAAGGATTACATCTTTAAGCCTTACACCATATAAGCACTATCAATTGCCCTCCCTCAAATAATTAGCCCACCTCTATTTTAACCCTCCTCAGCGAGAGGTTGAAATGTTGCTTTTCGTTAGTTACCTAGGATAGTTATCGAGGAATCTGGCTAAATCTTGTATACCAATTATGTCGATGGAATTCGATAATATTTAAATGTTTTTTGGTTCTAAAAATAGAACGTATGTAAATTGTTTCTAAAACTTAGGGTTGTCGGTTTCAAACCGAACCGGAAACCCGAAGATTTTCGGTTCGGTTTCGGTTAACCAAAGAATTTGGTGAAACCGACAACTCTACTAAAACTACTAAATATACAGTTGTGTTTCGTTAGTTCTCATCATATTTTTTTCAATTTACTGTCCTCTTCAAGATGATAGACAAAATTTCATTCCCCTATAGAATAAACTTTTATAACCAGTCACATAGTTTTTGTTTCAAGTTTTAATATATAGGGATCGGATTTTTAGGTCTAAAAACCTTAGAATAGGTACCTAAATAGGTTGTCTAAAATTCCCAAAATGGGTGATAAAAATAAAAAATAGGTGCAAAAATGGAGAACTTCATCGGAAATTCATCTGAATGTTTTTGAATGTAGGAAAATCATAGGGCCAAATTTCTATCTTTTTGCGCTTCAGGCAAAAATTTTTGAAAATTTATTAATAAATCAAGTTTCAAACACATTTAGGTATTTTAGAAGGAAAAATCATTTAACTATAATTTCCCATCCCATGATTCGAACCCAATCTTATAAAAATATCTAAATAAGTGAAGTCAGACCACTTAATCATCGACCAACAAATTAAAAGACAATATTACTTTAAATAAAGTAATTAGATAAATAAAAAACCAACCACGGCCACTATTACCGCGGCCACGATTGCCACGGCCACGTTGCCCGTCTCCACGGCCTCGGCGTCCTTGTACAGTATGTCCATGTCCGATACTTGGTAGAGTATATCCTGGAACATTTGGAACAGTAGAAATTAAATTGGTGATATGCCCACGCTGTTGACCTAAATAGTAATAATATGAAAAATAATTTAATAAATTTACCATCGTGTTGAGTTGGAGTAAGAATATAAGACGGACCTTAATTATACATAATATAAGTAATTTAGTTATAGTACAATGGACTCACCTCCCCAGAACCCCTGATAATTCTCTAAAATACTTAATTATTGGGTCTAATTAGTCCTTAAGGAATAGGTCCTTAAGGAATAGTTTCATTAACTTTTAATAAAATTTGAATTTTTGAACATGTATTTACCATATTTCTTCTTAAATAGCCTCCCCCCAGTTAAATTTTTAATTAAATTTGGTATTGTGTTTTCATTGCAGTCCCTGGGATGGAGTTGACTCTGTCCCAGTTTTATGAGTTCACCCCTAAATTTCATCATAATCTGGTTTGCAGATTACAAACCCAAATATTTTTAATCCCTGCTGATGGAACAACGTTTTTTTAGACGGAACAACGTCCCCCATTTACGGAACAACATCCCCCGTTTATGGATCAAATTCCCCGCTGACGGAACAACGTCCCCTATTTACGGAACAACATTCCCCGTTGACGAAACTACCTCACCGCTGACGGAACAATGTCCCCCGTTTACGAAACAACATCCCCCGTTGACGGAACACCGTTGACGGACGAACTTTCCCCGTTGACGGAACACAACATTTTTCCTTTGGAGACGAAAATTCCTAGCGGATACGAAAATTGCGGAGACGAATATTCCGCTGGAGACGAAAATTCCAAAAATGTTTGAGACGTAAGTTCCGAAAAGTCTTGGAGACGAATGTTCCAGAGACGAAAATTCCGGCACCCATAAAATTGAACCTGAAGGATGAGGTACGAGTTGAAGATTTTGTGGCATAGGATTTGCTTGAGCCATTTGTTGGTTTAACAAATCAGTAAACGACATCTGATGCTCTTAAATAAATATTTATTTAATCACTTATATTCTTTCAGAAACTACAGATAATCCATCAAAAGCCCAATTGAGATAAATATATAAAAAATTATCCTTTCGCGCCGTCGGCAGGCAAAATTTTATAATTTTCAGGTTCGGTATTACGGCAATTTGGCGAGCTTAACAACTCAAACATGTTTTAAGTATCCTTATAGCTAATACCTTGACCTTTTCCCAGATATTAGACCCTGAAAACAAAACCATAAGAGGGACAAACTAATTTTTGGATTAAAAATTCAAATATGCTGTAAAACGTTACGGTTCTGCTAAGGGGGCTAGGCCAACATTGCTGAAAATCGCGATATGTTGAAAATTGCGAAAATTAAAGGGGCTTATTTTACTACGTATAAAACCTAGCAAAGAATGCCTTCTAGTTACTTCCGACTTAAGAGCAGCACAAAAAAGGTAGATAAAGGGCAGCGTTTCGCCGAAATCAAAAGGATCTTTACAGAAATCTTTGAACATTTTTACCTTTTTTTTTACCTCGACTAACAATCAGTCTTGAATTTTCAGACTGATTTACTCAGCTCACGACCTCTCCAAACACAAAGCAATCACTAAATCATTTAAAGGCCAACCTTGTTGATAAGGATGTCCAGTATATTGAGAAATCGGGTCAAAACCAGTAGGAAGCTGATGAGGTTGTATCTGTTGACCAGCCATAAAGGGTTGAGGTTCTCCACCTTCCAAACGATAACGAACTGGATCAGGATTATGAACGACATCATCTTCAGCAACGTGTCCTGAAATTGAAATATTATTTGATTACTTTTCCAATGACTGAATAAATTGGTCAAAATCTATATTTTAGTGAAAATAAAGTCACATGATTACAAGTGCCGAGGTTTTCCTCAAGTAAGCTTGGCTTAAGTTAGCCGAACATTTATGTATTACCATCAAAATAAATAAAATATGTATATTATGTAACAGGGCTGGAAAATTTTGAATTTTAAAAAGCGGAAGGTGGAAGCGGAAGAAAATCCAGCAGGTTTATCACTATTTTTGTTTCCTCTATAAAACTCGCCAATTTTATTTCCAGAAAATTTATTTACCGTATAAATAATTTTGAACTTCTGCCATCTTCTCCTTCGAAAATGCCTTCAAATCTTTATTGTTTTTCTTTGCAATCTCACGCATTTCGTTTGAAAATTCAAATCCATCGAGATAGTCCTCTCTGCCTTGATCATATATAGCATTTTCTTTTTTCTTTAAACTTTTTTCTCTTTTAGTTTGGAGCTTAGCTATTTTTTCATTTTTCTTTTGCATATTTTGCATTAACTTTTCTGGTTTAATACGTAGATTTCTGCGAAGCTCTTGAGGAAGATTTAACCGTTCTGTTGCATTTTGGAGCTGATTTATCATCTCAGTATGCTGTTGCAAATGCATCAACCGTTCTTGCATAAGAAGTTCATGTTGATTTTGAATTTCATCGTCAAGATTTGGGGCATGGCCCTCTGTTGGTCCCATTTCGTGTTCCTCATTCCAGTTTTGGGTCGGTTCACTTTCACGAGTTGGTATATGTGCATGACTTCTTCGACTTCCTCCTCTACGACCTTGACTACTTGCTCCCCCTTCTTGTCCGGAAGATTCTTCCCCAACTTTACCTTTTCCTTTATTATCCATACATTCTACTATCTCCCAAAAAATTAAAATGTAGAACAGAAAAATTCCAAACTTGGACATTTTAGAATTTACCTTTAAATATATGGAAAATATAATAGAATTTAGTGAAAATTTTAATATTTTTAAAAACATTTGCTTAATCGTAATTAATATAAGAAAGGCAAAAGTCCTGCAATGATGCATGGGACCTTGCAGTAATGAGTTTTTCTGCCTTCGTTAAGGCGAGAATTCTTGCTGTGGAAAAATTCATTAGATGGGAGATGGAATTGACCCATCATGGAATGAGCCCAGACCGAAGCACAACCGACTGTGCCCAACCCTATGCTGGGTTATTTATTTTCATTTATATTCCTTCTGGAAGTGCTGACACAACAATTAGATTCAGGGTGGGCATTTCCAAATCGCCAAAAGGGGGCATGGCCTCTCAAAAAGGGGGCAAAAAGAGGGATTATTTTAAAAACTTATAAATAATTTTAATTAATATAAAAATTTATAGTTAAAAAATTTTTTAAAGCTAATAAAGACAATTTTTAATAAAAAGAAGAGGGTAAATGAATTAAAATGCTTGCCCTGTCTATTTAAAAATATAAAGCTGCGCGCGTATATAGATTTGGATTTTACTCGCTGATAAAGGAAAGGGCCTCTAAATTTTAAAAATTTGCTTTAAAAATTATTGCCTTTTTTGGTAATTTGTATTTATCTCTATTCTTAAATATTTTTTACTATTTTTTCCCCAACTTCGCGTTCATTTTACAAACAAAATTGCGCAATTAAGATGCCTGTAAGGCATTAGATGCTCTAACCTTGCAATTCTATTTTACTGTAATTAGGAATAAATTTCAATTTAAATAAATATTTTAGGTTCAAGTCGCTATTGTAAAGCATATAGTTATTTAATTCCTAAGGTGTAGAATAGGCGGCGTGGTTACTGGATAACACATCAGTCCGGTCTATTGAAGAAGCTGGTTCGCTCCCAGCTGCCAATTAACGTTTTGCACTAGCTAAAGGAGAGAAATAGCTATAGCCCATCTGCTTTACTCAATCACCAAATTTAATTTTGATATATTTTTTTATTTTTCAACTAGGACCAATTTTATTAGGCGTATGAGAAAGAAAAATAACTCCAGAAAATTTTATTTTAAATTTTAATTATTTATTTTTAAATCATTTTTATTTATTTCACGTGAAAATAGCAGGCATTTTGTAAAGCAGGCATCATATGCTATGTATAAGTGCATATGCTCGCAATGTTGTTTACTTAATTGCGCGGTTATTTTTAAAGAAGAAACGCTCTCGTTGGGTATAAAATAGAATAAAACAGCTACGCAGCCCCCCAACGCGGCCCATCACTAATGAAGGGCATAGCCACGAGCGTCAATCTAAGAAGGAAGGGTGAGGGCCGAAGACTCAACGCGGCCCATAAATAATAAAGGGCATAGCCCGTTGCGCTTCCAACTAAAAAGGAAGGACGAGGGCCAAAGTTCGGAAGCCAAGCCCATCCAAGAGGATTTTAGTCCCTACTTCTACAGACTAAAGGTAAGCTCCGAAAAAAGTATATATTTCCCAAAATTCACAAAAAAGCTACAAATTAATCTAAACACATTTAACATAGATCTCCAAGCAAAAAATAAACCTAGCACAGTTTTAAAGCCACAGGCTTTCAATGCGCGTCCATGTACGCGCCTCCAAAAGCACTCCCCCAACGTAACTAAATGGTAATGTTCATATGCATTGCTGTTACTAAACCCAGATGGTTTTTAATTAAATATATTAGATATTTAGCTATATAATTTTCGAAATTATGACTAAATTTCTGCGTATGAGAAAGAAAAATAACTTCAGAAACTTTTATTTTAAATTTTAATTATTTATTTTTAAATTAATTCTTATTTATTCCACGTGAATCTTGTAAAGCAGGCATCATATGCTATGTATAAGTGCATATGCTCGCAATGTTGTTTACTTAATTGCGCGGTTATTTTTAAAGAAGAAACGCTCTCGTTGGGTATAAAATAGAATAAAACAGTTAAACAGTCTAAAAGGGAAGGTCGAGAGCCGAAGACCCAACGCGGCCCATCAATAATGATGGGCATTACCCGCCGCGCTTCCATCTAAAAAGGAAGGGTTAGGGCCAAAGTCCTGAAGCCAAGCCATCTCCAAGCAAAAAATTAACTTAGCACAGTTAGAAACCCTTAGGCTTTCAATGCGAGTTCATGTATGCGCCTGAAAATGCTTTAAAGCACTCCCCCCAACGTAACTAAATGGTAATGTTCATATGCATTGCTGTTACTAAACCCAGATGGTTTTTAATTAAGTATATTTGATATTTAGCTATATAATATCCGAAATTATGACTAAATTTCTGCGTATAAGAAAGAAAAATATGTAACTTCAGAAAATTTTTATTTAAATTATTATTATTTATTTTTAAATTTATTTTTATTTATTCCACGTGAAAATGGCAGGCATCCTGTAAAGCGGCATCCTACATAGCCTATGTTAAGGGCAACATGCTGCAAGGTTGTTTACTCAATTGCGCGGTTACCTTTGAAAAACGCTCTCGTTGGATATAAAATAGCCAAAAACAGTTAAGAATATAGAAAAATACATTCTGTCTAAATAAAATTATCGAATTTAGAGGGCACGCATCCATGTCTAATGCCGTGTTTACATAAAAAGCGTCTTGCGTTTTACAGCAAAAATAGCATTTAAAATAAGCATTTAAACAACTTCTGGTCTCCGACCCTCGTCCCCATTTTTGGGACACATTTTTGCACTTTGGCCCTCATCGCCCTCGCCTCCGGCCCTCTTCCTGCCACAGCTGGAGCTTAACCTTCCGCTTTGGCAGATTAACCAACTCTTGATAATTTTTTTTAAATTTTAATTATTTATTTTTAAATTTATTTTTATTTATTCCACGTGAAAATGGCAGGCATCCTGTAAAGCGGCATCCTACAAAGCCTATGTATAAGGGCAACATGCTCGCAATGTTGTTTACTCAATTGCGCGGTTATTTTTAAAGAAAAACGCTCTCGTTGGTGTATATAATAGCGAAAAAAAGTTAAGAATATAGAAAAATACAGTCTGTCTAAATAAAATTATCGAATTCAGGGACCGCACGCATCCATGTCTAATGCCGTGTTTACATAAAAGTCGTCTTGCGTTTTACGGCAAAAATAACATTTAAAAAAGGAGAGACTAAATCGCGTCTAATTTCTCTCTCTCTCATAAAAAAGGAGAGACAAAATCGCGTCTCATTTTCTCGCTCTCTCTCTGTATCATAAAAAAGGAGAGACAAAATCGCGTCTAATTTCCCTCTCAGTCTCTCTCATAAAAAAGGAGAGACTAAATCGCGTCTAATTTCTCTCTCTCTCTCATAAAAAGGGAGAGACAAAATCGCGCCTCATTACTCTCTCTCTCTTTCTCTCTCTCATAAAAAAGGAGAGACAAAATCGCGCCTTATTACTCTCGCTCTCTCTCTCATAAAAAGGGAGAGACAAAATCGCGCCTCATTACTCTCTCTCTCTTTCTCTCTCTCATAAAAAAGGAGAGACAAAATCGCGTCATATTTCTCTCTCTCTCTCATAAAAAAGGGGTGACTAAATCGCGCCTCATTACACTCTCTCTCTTTCTCTCTCTCATAAAAAGTGAGAGACAAAATCGCGTCATATTTCTCTATCTCTCTCTCTCATAAAAAACGGGAGACTAAATCACGCCTCATTACTCTCTCTCCCTCTCTCTCTCGCTCTCATAAATAGGAGAGGCAAAATCGCGTCTAATTTCTCTCTCTCTCTCTCATAAAAAAGAAGAGACAAAATCGCGTCTAATTTCTCTTTTTTTCTCTCATCTTTCTCATTTCTCTTTCATCTCTCTCTTTTCTCTCATCTCTCTCTTAAATTCTCAAGGCTATTTTTTTCTGCAAAACGCAAGATGTAAACACGGCATAAAGACTTGCATTTAAGAATTCTCTTATAAAAATTTTTATTTTGAAAGTCAAAAATATTTTTTGCAAAATCCTGTCAATATTCTCTTTATTTTAAAGTTTTTATTTTTAATTTTATTAGCAAGCACGAACCCAGATATGATATCCACGGCAAACCTCCGGTCCCTAACACTTCTGGCCCCTTAGGAACTCTAATTTATTTCATATAAATTTTTTATTAAAGATGAACTTGAAAAAATATGAAATTCTTCTATTTATTTGCTTACTACACGAATTATCTGAAAGCATGAATAATGACAAGGAAAGTTTTGGAAATACAAGTAAACACGAAGGAAAACAGCCTAAACGTATGGGATTTTTAAAAGAGAAACGTTGTGAGGAAAGGAAAAAGCTTAAGAAGGCTTGTCAGGAGCTATTAAACATTCAAAATGAAGGCCTTAACAAAGGTACCGTTATAGAAGGTATACATCTTATTTTATGATTTAACGACGAAAAACTTAAATTTTTTTATTTTTAATTTTAATTTAGTTAATAGAGTTCGAACAGGGTAAGGCCGTTTCCGCGAACGATAGCCCTCAAACCGAGCATTGTGATAAAATCCGGTTTTTTGGTATTTTTTGGTGTTCCTTATTTAAAAAAATAAACAAATTCTTTTATACACAGAGTGAGGTTATCAAGTAAGTTGTAATTATATCAAGTATCTAATATTTGCATTGTATTCAAATTAGTAAAAAATTATTAAGAATGACACCAGGGGCCGTATTATAAAAACGAGGTAAGGGTTAACCAACCCTCAGCTGCGGGGTTTTTGCGCCGATTTGCTGCGGCGCGAGCATTCCAACTAAAGAGCAGTGGGAAGAGCAGACAGTTAACGGCAGCAAAGACTTTGCTCTCTAACCATCGGGTTTGGCGCCGCTCATTTTTCATTTCTCCCTATTTTCGAGAAAAATCATAACTTTTTTTAAAAGTTAGCTAAAAATTTAATTTTTTGCCAAAATATAGTTCGGAGTGTTAACTATGATTTACCAAAAAATCAAAAATTTTTAAAGATTTTTTTAAAAGTTATGAATTTTCTTGAAAGGTACTACTTTTCCTTAAAAAATGACTAAATAATGAG